CGGCCCGGGGGGGGGGCACTGGGAGCTGGGACGCCTGGGTTCTCTCCCTGCCCTCGGGGGCGGCGGCACTGGGAGCCGGGACGCCTGGGTTCTCTCCCTGCCCTCGGGGGGGGGCACTGGGAGCCGGGACGCCTGGGTTCTCTCCCTGCCTTCGGGGGCGGCACTGGGAGCCGGGACGGCTGGGTTCTCTCCCTGCCCTCGGGGGGGGGGGGGCACTGGGAGCTGGGACACCTCGGTTCTCTTCCTGCTGTCGGGGGTGGGAGGGGATGTACTGGGAACGAGGACGCCTGGGTTCTGTTTAAGGGTGACCAGATTGCTAGTGTGAAAAATCAGGGCAAGGGGGCGGGGGGGTAACAGGTGCCTATATGAGGAAAAGCCTGGAACATCAGGACTGTCCCTATAAAAGCGGGACAGCTGGTCACCCTATTCTGTGTCCAGCTCTGCCTGGGCTCCCTGCACTGGAGGGCGTTTCACCCTCAATCTTTCTACAGCACAAAAGTTATCTCGAGAGTCATAATAGCCCCTGGGGTTTCCATAGGGCCCTACACAGCACAAAGATCACACGTGCTCTGCGGACTGTTTCTCCTGGGCGGGAGGGAGCGATTCCTCACCTACCTCTGAAGTGCAGCGGGTTCTGGCCCAGAGCCCAGCAGCTGTCTAAGGCCGCACAGCAAGACAAGAATGGCCAGGGTGGGCCAGCCCAGTGGCCAGGTGCCCAGCTCTGAAGGCGGCAGCCCCCCAGCAGCAGCGCAGAAGTAGGGGTGGCGATACCAAACCGAGCCATTCCTATTTCTGCGCGGCTGCTGGCGGCAGCCCTGCCTGCCGAGCTGGGCTCCCGGCCAGCAGCCGCAGCTCTCCAGCCACCCAGCTCCGCAGGCAGCAGGGTCACGACCCCCCGACGATAAGCTTGTGACCCACTCCCACACACCCAGCTCCTCTTGGGTCAGGACCCCTACAATTACCACACCATGAAATTTACAGTTTTCAAAATCATACGACCATGAAATTGACCAAAATGGACCGTGAATTTGGTAGGGTCCTACTTATTATCTGGCCCTTTCCTAATTCTGTTCGCTTTTTTGACTGCCGCTGCACACTGAGTGGATGTTTTCAGAGCACTCTCCACGATGACGCCAAGATCTCTTTCTTGAGTGGTAACAGCTAATTTAGACCCCATCATTTTATATGTATAGTTGGGATTATGGTTTCTAATGTGCGTTACTTTGCATTTGTCTATATTGAATTTCGTCTGCCATTTTCTTGCCCAGTTTTGTGAGATCCCTTTGTAGCTCTTTGCAGTCTGCTTTGGACTTAATGGTCTCAAGTAATTTTGTGTCATCTGCAAACTTTGCCACCTTGCTGTTTACACTTTTTCTAGATCATTTATGAATATGTCAAACAGCACTGGTTCCAGTACAGATTCTTGGGGAACGCTACTACTTACCTCTCCACTGTGAAAACTGACTGTTTATTCCTACTCTTTGTTTCCTGGTATTTTTGTTAGCACTTACTGGTCCAGGAGAGGATCTTCCCTCTTATCCCATGACTGCTTACTTTGCTTATGAACCTTTGGTGAGGGACCTTGTCAAGGCTGGATCTCCTTCGTCCGCATGCTTGTTGACCCCCCTCAAAGAATTCTACTGGATTGGTGAGGCATGATTTCCCTTTACAAAAGCTGTGTTGACTCTTCCCCAACAATCACGTTCATTTACGTGTCTGATAATTCTGTTCTTTAGTAAAGTTTCAACCAATTTCCCTGGTACAGAAATTAGGCTTACCAGCCTCTGATTGCCAGGATCACCTCTGGAGCCTTTTTTAAAAATCGGCATCACATTAGATATCCTCCAGTCATGTGGTGCAGAGGCTGATTTAAGCGATAGGTTACATACCACAGTTAGTTCTGCAATGTCATATTTTAGTTCCTTCTGGGCCTGGAGACTTACTGTTTAATTTATTAATTTGTTCCAAAACCACGTCTATTAACACCTCAATCTAGAACAGTTCCTCAGATTTGTCATCTAAAAAGAACGGCTCAGGTTTGGGAACCTCCCTCACATCCTCTGCAGTGAAGACCAATTCAAAGAATTCATTTAGTTTCCCTGCAATGGCCTTATCGTCCTTGAGTGCTCCTTTAGCACCTCGATCGTCCAGTGCCAGTGGTCCCACTCACTGATCGGCAGGCTTCCCACTTCTGATGTACTTAAACATTTTTTTGCTGTTAGTTTTTGAGTCTTTTGCTAGTTGCTCTTCAAATTCTTTTTGCCCTGCCTAATTATATTTCTACACTTGGTTGGCCAAAGTTTATGTTCCTTTCTATTTTCCTCAATAGAAAACACCACCCAACAGGTTCGGACAGGAAGTGAAGAAGTATCTTGTATCACTGGAAACTACCAGGGGAAATTGAGGGAAGCAGAAGGCACTGACCCGAGATACAGGGTCTAGCAGAAACCATCCATCAGGATACTGGGGTGACAGAACCCCTGCAGCCTCACCCCACCACCTAGGATGAGGCCGTAAGAAGCCTGCACCAATATGCCTGAGAGACTCCAGCAGAGCTGGCCTGGCTCTCCTGTCCTGGTGACAGAGGACTCCCTGGGGTCAGCGAGGACTGCAGCCAAGGGGGCCCGCTGGGGCCATGAAAGCTTTTGTCTGTTTCAGTGCCTGTGCTGATCCATTTCTCTCCCTTCCACATGGAAATCAATACGGCCGGCCGGCAGAATGAGCTCATCCATCACTTTTGCTCCTTTTCTAATGAATATTTTCTCTCCTATAAGGGCTGTTGCTAAAGTCTCCAAACGGCAATATTTCTCCAGGACTCTGTCACTCCTCTTAGCGGGCTGTGATCACAGTGTCCAGATCCTCCTTCCCCCATAACCCTGCCCCTTCCCATCAGATTACACAGATAAGTCAGTCTCACTGGGGTTCTGCCCACCTGCTTTAGTTCCACATTTGGTCTGAAGGCCTGGAGAGGATTCAAGCTCTGGGAATACGCCTAGGGGTTGGAAATCTCAGGGCTGGGGGGAGCACTGCGGGCACCAGGGTTAAACTAAGGGTGTGTCTACACGAACAGTGCACGGCCCAGCTCTACCAATGCAGCTGCGCCCCTGCAGTGCGTCCGGTTAAGACGCTCTGTGCTGACGGGGGAGAACTCTCCCCTTGGCATAATAGAACCACCTCCACGAACGGCAGAAACAGCTCTCCCGCTGGCATAGCACTGTGCACACAAGCGCTTGTCGGTGTAACGCAGATCGCTCGGGGTGGTTTGTTTACCCTCCTGGGTGACATAAGTTCTGCTGACATAGGCTGTAGTGCAGACATAGCCTAAGTCAGTGGGAGCTGTGCAGAGACCAGATTCTCCTAGGAGAAATCACAGCCTCTTGCATCATTAGCACTTTGCATAGTTCGTTATCCTGCACAGCTCAGTTTCACCTGTCAGTCTGGGCAGGTCATTACAAAGGCTCGTTTCCTCTGTGTGCAAAGGTGAGGCCTGCCCAGGGGCACATGCAGCAGAGCCTGTTAAGCACTGGTAATTGAGGGAGATTTGGGGTGTAGTTCAGGCAGAGAGCGATGGCCATTGCAAATGCCCTTAAAATGAATCCACATGGCAGTCACTGACTGCAGAGTCCCTACTGCACCTGGAACCAAGGCTGTAAGGCCCATCTCTCACTGGCTGCAAGGCAGCTACCTACACCAGCACTGAATACGATTCAGAGGGAGGAATTTGGGTGTGAGCCATGAGCCTTGTTTAGAAGGATGATCCACAAGAAAGCCACTGTGCTTTTAGCACTCAGTCTCCACAGGAAACTGCATCCCCTTCTTTAGCACTGCCATGTCCATCCCCTCTGTGTCTAGCACCCTTTTATCCTGGCTTCAGCCTAACACAAGACCAAAAGATCCTGGCAACAAAGAGCTTGGACCAGTTTCTGATCTAAGTTACGCTGGTGTAAATCCAAAGTGACTCTGTCCAAGTCAGTCGAGTTCCTGTGGATTTTTTCCGGTATAACCTAGATCACAATCCAGCCCCTCCTTTTTCTAGGTGCGATGTACACTCATGAGATGTACATAGTAACATGAAACAATGGCCACCCCACCCTTGCAGCCTTTTCCCCCTGTGCTCGAGCTGAGCCATGGGGCACCCTGGGGCTGGGAGCAGCTCAGAAGCATTTTCTCCCGTGTGTTCAAAGGCAGGGAAGCATTTTACCCTGCTTGATTGGCACTTGCCTGTAGGCAAAGAATGGTACAGCAGCTTGTTGGGGCCAATATGACCCCAACCTATCTGCCAAGTGGGATTTGCTCTGCCCTTAACAGACGGCGATTTTCCCTTTCTGGGGAGTTCCTAGTTGTATGGCTCTGCTAACATGATCCGTCAGACATAAAGCAAGGGCTCTTCCCCTTTGATCTGTGGGGCATGTTGTGGTGGGTGAGATGGCAGTGTATTCCCAGGCCAGGTCAGTGGGGATGGTGCGACTCTGGCATATGGGTGGCTATGGCTGCGTACGATATGCCCTCCCTGCCTGGATGCTGTGGGCAATAGAACAGGTGGTGGAGACACTGGTCAGAGATGACACTGCTGCAACAAATAGCAAAGCTGTCTTAGGTCACCTAATCACCTGCCCTGGAGGTGAGTGCAGGCTTGTTCCCTTGGGGCAGGGGAGGCAGCCAGCCAAGCAGCATACCCACCCCTTCCCTGGAGTAGTGCAGGGCCCATCACACGTATGGCCACTGCGCTCCAGCCCACTCTGGGAGACACGGGGGCCACAGGCTATCATCCAGAACTCTCAAATCCAACAGCACAGGCCTGCACCTCTCCAGCGAGGGGAGCATCTGCTGGCAGTAACAGTAGGCTGTTATCTAGCTAGACTAGCCCCTTGAGGAGGCGGCCCACCACAGGTTGCAGGTGTGACAGCTGTAGGAGCCCTGTGGACCGGGAGGAAGCAGGGTAGAGAGTGACTGTTGGAGAAGGGTGGGGAATGCAAAGGAAACCGGCCTGGAGCAGCACCTTGTGGTAACAAACCCTCGCAGCACTTTTTATTCAGTCATAACAACAAGCACCAGAAAACCATGCAATGTAATCCAGGGCTGGGGAGGCCGAAGCAGCCAGGCAGTGCCAAGCGCACACAGCAGAGCGCGGGATTGGGCCACTGCCCCCTTCTCAACTCCTGCTGCAATCAGTTGCTTTAACAGTGGTCAAAGGGGCTAAAGAGCAATTGCCTCCCCCCTGCCCCCATGACCCCGCTCCCTGCAGAGTCACACACATTCAGGGCCCTTTGCTGGCACCAGGCCTGCCTCCACCCACAGCCAAGAGATTCTCCAGGAAAACACAAAGTCAGCACCAGCTAAGGTTGGTCCCTCCCCCTCCGCCTAGCCCCAGGAGCCCCCTCCTCTAGGATCTCTGTCACGGGGCAGGGCCCAATGAGGAGAAGTCCCTGGCCTGGAGCCTACCGCCTGAGCTGGGGGGGTATTCATGAGGGAGGGCTGCAGGCTGGCATAGGAGCTGCTCCTAGTGCTGGGCAAAGGGGCAGGTGCCACCTTAGCACCAAAGCAAAAAGAAAGGTATTATTTTCTCTCTCCCCTTTCAAATAAATAAATACAGGCAGAACACAGCACGCCCCACAGTAGAAACGGTTCCCAGCCCCCGCTTTCCCAGGAGGGCAGAGGTTACAAAATGCAGAGAAGTGCCCTCTCCTTCCCCGCAGGTTCTGGAGCCATTATTACTAATCACGGATAAGCGAAATAAAGACCCGGCCATTCCACCCTCCCGCTGTGGCAGGGATGGGGGCCAGCTCAGTTGGCCGCTGGACTCTTGGAAGATCTGAGCAGCACAGGTCCCTGCGGTGGCTTATCCACAAAGGGGCCAGACCCTCAGCTAGCGTAAAGCAGCGTCACTTCCTGACTGTAATGGAGCCTGGCAGCTGGGGATCGGCTTTGACTATCCCCCCAGATTAGCAAACGGGGCACAGGCAAAGCAGAAGGAACCAAATGCAACGGTGGCACTTTGGTGGGTTGGTTGTCCTGGTACCCTCAAAGCCACCATGGGAGCGTAGGAATTGCCGTTCCACATCAGACCAGTGGTCCGCCTAGTCTGGGATCTGGTCTCCAGCATCAGCTGCTTAAGAGGAAGGTGCAAGAAAACCCATACTGGACAATTATGGAATAGCCTGGCCGCAAGGGAAGCTTCTTCCTGACCCTGGGCAGCTAGTGGTGGCTTATGCCCAGAAACATGAGGGTTTGTACCTCTAGGAACTCAAGGACTGGAGAAGTTGGCCCAGAGCCGGCTGGACTGGAAGCCTGGGTGGGGAGGGGGAAGCCCTCCAGCAACAGATTGGTCGATTCTTTTGTCCTGCAGGGCATTCCAGGGCCACCGTAAGAGGACCACAGCATGTGGCACTGGGGCTGTGCTGCAGGGAACTGGGCATCACAGCCCTGTGGGACTCAGTCCCCTGTGGCTCTGGGGCAGAGACGCCACAGGGCTCCCTACAACTGGCCAGAGCCTGGCTGCCGTGGAGGGGTGAGAGGTGGAGGGGAAATGTACAAAATATGCAGCAATTGGGTCTTTGCTGAACAGACGGTCCCCAGCAAACAAAGCACCATTAATATCAGTCTCTCCTTTAGCAGAAAGGAGGCACCCCCATCATGGAGGGCAGGGAGAGGAAAGGGAGAGAGTAAGACCCGAAGAGTCAGCGTGGAGCCTGGATTCCCCAGGCCCTTGAACCAAAGCTCTCGCCTGTTTCTAGGGAAGGCAGCAACCCCTTCACAGCAGAGCAATACCCTGAAGCTCAGAGGGGTTTACAGAGTTCAGCACGCAAAAGCAGCTGCTGAACAAGCCCCTTCTCCGTGAACAAAGCAGGGCTGTCTTTGGGACCTGGGATGCTAAGCTACCATTCTGTCCAGCGGCTCCGGGAGCACAGAGCCCCTTGCGGGGTCAGCTGTTACAATGCCAACAGGCTTGGGGCCAGCTGCCTCGTGCCCCAGTGGCCGGTGGGATGACAGGACTGTTCAGGGGTTGCGTGACCAATCAGTGTTGCTGGGCTCCAGGGACAGGACTAGTAGGAGCAGCTAGTTTAGTGCCAGGGGGGTAAGGGGTCGGTATTGCTACTGCAGACATGGGCACTGACCGTGATCTAAACACTCTGTTTGGACAAAGCCTCCCTTCTGCTTGTGCCCATGTCAGCACAGCACAGCTCTGGCTCCTTCCGCCTGGGGTCTAGGGTCATGAACTAGGCCAGTGGATCCTCCGGCTATGAGAAAAGTCTCCTAGAAGCCAAGCAAAGCTCTCTGGCTCAGGGCCCCAGAGAGGGCCAGTCACCTGCTGCTGCCCCATAGGGAGCCATTGGAGCGGACACTCACGCACACTCAGAAGTTTTATAAGGAGGTTTCAGAGGAATCTGGGGCTGCTCCTCAGCTGTAGGACAGGGAGGGGACAAGCACCAAGAGCTGCTAAAAGGGCTGCCCCGGGAAGTGGAACAAGCTGGAGATCTGAGTAAGGAACCTCCTACCCCCCGTGCTGCCCCGGGAAGTGGAACAAGCTGGAGATCTGAGTAAGGAACCTCCTATCCCCCGTGCTGCCCCTGTGTGAGATCCAAGATGGGAAAGCCCTCCTAGAGTACTGTCTGGCAAGGGCAGGATCACACCCCCTCTATCAAGCTGCTGCTACACTAGATTATCTGGCCTAATGCATGGAATCCCTCTGAGCCAAACTGGAGTTCAAGAACAGCTGAAAACCCACCATCAGCTTCCTCCAGGAGACACACAATGCTGCAGGCAGAAGGGAAGAGGAGAAATATACCAGCCTTCTCCTCCCAGGAGCAAGAAACAGCATATTCTCCACCTTCCCTTTCGGCCTCTTGGCTGTCTCCCTTGTTCCTAATCAAGTAGGGGGTAGGTATGACACAGCCTCTGCCTTTCCTTGCTTGGGCAGTAGTGGGTGTTCTGTGGTCCTGTAGTGCCCCAGTCTTAGGTCTCCCCAGTGCATCCACTCTCACCCGTAAGTGACTCCGCACCCCCTCCTGTGGCATCTAAACTCCTGATTGGTTTAGGCTCACACAGCAGCTGTGAAGAGCAATTCCACACAGCCGCAGGCTGGGGGGCCAGGAACGCAGAAACAAATAAATTACACATATTAACAAAAATAATAAACCCTGCTACCAGAACCACGAGTTGTGTAATAGCCCCTTGGAGTCTGCAACAAGTTACGTATACCTGGGACCGAGCCAGGACTCCCGCCTGCCAGTCACTCAAAGGTGGGCATCCCAGAATGCTCAGGAGGGATGCCAACACGATGATGGAGCTTGCACGAAGGCGTGTATGTGACAAGGTACCGGCTGTCCAGGGTGGGAGGAGGTCTTGGGGGGGGTCGGCGGGCAGAGAGGGTCTTTATTGCTTGTCGATGGCTCCCTGTTCAGCAGAGTTCTCCTTGTTAGTGGCCTGCACGTGCCACGAGGTCTCTTTAAACACAAACCAGCAGTTTCCAGCCCACAGAATAAAATTGATGAAGCCAAAGAGCTAGGGGAGAGTCAGAGAGAGCAAAGGGCACAATTACCATCAGTGAACTCACAGCAAGACCTGCCAGCCTCAGGCGCGTGCGTGCGTCCAGCTGTGCACACCCCGCTCCCGGCTGGAATCAGGACGGCTCGGCGCTCTGCTGCATGGCCCCCCCGGTAGCTGGGGGCTCAAAGGATATAAGGCTGCCTACTGCTACAGGCAATGGAGAACCGCCCTTAGCTCCCCAGGCCTAGAGGCCAAGTGGACATGGCAAAATCCCCTCAACCCTTCAACTGCTGCCTGCACCCCGTTCTGGTGCTGAAGAAGTAGCTAAGTCACTCAGAGCGCACACATCCACTGCCAGTGACTGCCTCTCGGGGCAATGCACTTAGTTCAGAGACAGCACCCAGTGCGCCATTTACACCAGGGTGTCTGAGCAGTTCCTGGCGCCCTGACTGCCCTTGGCGCACTGGTTAAACTACAGCACCACCTGGCCATCTCCCCTAGGCGCAGACAGTCCGTGTACAGAGGTCGATGGGCCCGGTCCATCTCTGGCTAACAAAGCCGGGTGCTAGCAGCTCATGGTCCCTGGATCAAACCCCGGTGCTGGTAACCCCCCTACCCCCATCCAGGGCATGGCACAGCCCAAGAGGCGTCTCCACCAGCAATCTACTCCAGTTGTGTGGTCACAAAAATGGCAGCTTGTGGGCCAGATCCTGAGCTGGTGTAAATGGGCCGTTCATTTCAACGGAACATGGCGCATTTACGCCAGGTGTAAATCTGGCCGAATGGGTCCCCTGCCCCCTTTGCTTGTGCGCAGCTGTGGCGCTGGCTTGGCCATGGGCTCTTACCACGGAGATGTTGGCCAGCCCCATGGCCGGCGTGGCCCCAGCGTTGCACACGGCCTGTTTGAGATGGCACACGGACATGGCGGCGATGAGACTGGACGGCCGTGTGGCCCCCTTCACGTCTGACAGGCCTTTGCCCCAGGCTGCAGCCGCCACCAGCCAGAAGAAGGTGAAGGAGACGCTCACGCAGAAATCCTGGGGGGCGGGAAGGAAACATCATGCTGGCTCCGGTGTCGTGCACAGCAGGGCTCCTCTCACTCTCCCCAGCCCCAGGCATGGAGATGGGAATGCTCGTCTAGCTCCAGGACCTCCAGCCCACCTGGCCTATACCGCCTCCCAACACCACCTGCCAGGGACCAGCCCCCCAGCCCCGCCCCAGCCCCACCGGCTGGTGGACTAAGGCAGACTCCAAAAGATCTAGGCCCAATGCTCCAGAAAGGCCCCTAAATTCCCTGGCGGGTCCCACTAGTGTTCCAAGCCCTCACACCAATGTATGCGACTCCCCTGTTCTTTGATAAGCAAAGGGGTTTAGGACCACCTGGCTTGCATTGCACAGCTTCAGTCTGCCCTTGCTGCCTGCATCTAATGTCTCCCTTTCTTGACCTGAAGCCCCAGGCACCAAACAGACATCCTGCTACATCCCAGTGCGGGGCCTTCAGCCTTCATCTGTGAATCCTGGCTCTGAAACAGCCTTCAGCCTTCGCACCGAGCACCCAGAGCTGAAGGCTTAATCACTTGGCTGCTGACCCTGGCCGGGATTAGGGGGACAGTGCCTGCTATGGGTCAGCTCTGTCTCTCCTCACGTTGCCAGCGTGACAGCACCACAGGGAGAGAACTCCCATCCTGGAAAGGGGTGCAGGGACAGAATGATGGCTTAATGGTGGGGGAAGCCCTCAGATGCTCAGCTCTGCCTCCTCTGACTTCCCCTCCCAAGAAATGGGAAGTAACTTGCCCAAGGTCCCATAGTGAGTCAGTGGCGGAGCCAGAAATCAGATCCAGGAGACCTAACTCCCAGCCCTGTGCCACAGGTTCTTTAGCGCAAGCCCCACAGCTGTAAGAGCCACCAAACAAACCCCAGCCCAGGGGGCTAAGGCAGGGATCTCACCGCAAAGGGAAGCTTCTTGTTCTCTGTGTAAAGGGAGTGAAATCGCAGGTAGATCACCAGGGCTGCCATGCTGTAGAGGAAGGAGAAGACTCCCAGGGTCACGAAGAACTCGGAGGGGGCCGAGAAGTCCCCCATGAGATGCAAAGTCCTTTTAGTGGCATTGCCCTCGCAGACAGGCATCTCAAAGGGAATCCTGGATAACCTGCCCACAGAGAAAGGGGTGGGGAGAGAGACATATTTAGCAGGGAGGAAGGCGCAGTGCAGGAGAAAGAACAGGCTGAGACCTACATCCACCCTCTTGGGTAAAAGGAGCCAGCCTGTCTGAAGGCTGGGATTGGTGGGCGCAGCCTTGAAAGGCCCACCCCCTCAGATACGGGAGGGGCCATGGAATCCAGATATGGTGGACTGAGTATGGGGGACAAGAGAACAGGATTGGGGGGTGCAGGTCATGGGATAAAACCAGTGATGCAGAGGGGGACACTGAGCAGAGAACCCCGCAGAGCAGCTGCTGCCCAGAGGAGTCCAAGGAGCTAGAGGATGGCACCCATAGGAACCCTGCCTGGCTGCAGGACAAGGGCCTGGGAAAAGGCCCCACAGTCACAGAGAAGGGAAATGCATCTAACGAGGAGCACTGTCTTGCCTCCTCCTCCTCCTGGACAGATGGACGGCTGTCTTGGCCTCCCTCTGCAGGAGGTTGACAGTGTGGTCTTGGGGCTGTGGGGTCATGGGCGGGAGTTATCCACAGAGCAAGGACAGTACGGGCAGTGGCAGGGTAAGGTCCCTACACTGCAGCCTGCCAACGGGCCTCATCCCTTCTATGGCTTGATCTACACCAGTAGCCCTGCCCCTGGCTGTATAAATGCTGGTGTCCGGTCTACACTTGCTCTTACACTGGAGCAGCACTACCCCTTGATGATTTGCTAGTGTAGACACACTGTAGGAGTGAGTTCAGATTCCAAAGCAGTCAGTCCTTGGCCACTCTGTCTATCTGGGTTTCCATAAGATTGACTATCACCATGGTATTCAACCACCTCTCTGCTAAGGCTGCCAGCAGTGGGCCGATCCATCCCAGTAACAGAAAGGATTTTAGAGTAGCAGCCGTGTTAGTCTGTATCCGCAAAAAGAAAAGGAGGACTAACAAATTTATTAGAGCATAAGCTTTCGCGAGCTACAGTTCACTTCATCGGATGCATGCAGATGAAGTAAGCTGTAGCTCATGAAAGCTTATGCTCAAATAAATTTGTTAGTTTCTAAGGTGCCACAAGTCCTCCTTTTCTTTTTTAGAAAGGATTTTGTGACTTGTCACTTCAGTTCTGGTATGACACCCACCCACTCATTTCACAGAGGCTGCTAAGAGCCATCAGATGGCACCAGCATTCCAATTCTGTACGCTCTGATAAGACTGCACCGTGCCCGGGGCAGTGAGCTCTCCTTTGTCCGTGGCAGTCAAGCCCCATACAAAAACAGGTAACTTTCCGTCACCACCTTCCGACGCTGAATATGACACAGCCACCGAGGGGTGAAAAACTTTCTGGCCCAATCACCCCTCCCACTGAATTTGACTTTAAAGGAAAAGAGGGATTTTCTCTTTGACCTGACTCTCCCCCTGCACTCTCATGCAGCTGAATACAACAGCACCAGGCTAGTACCCCAGAACTACAGCTGGAAACTGAGCAGAAAGTGAGGGCCAGGTCAGAGCAGGTCTAAATGGAAAACGCTCCACTGAGCTCAGCCCGTGTACGTCAGGATGTAGGATGAGGACCTGACCTGCACAGTGAAACAGAGCAGCCTGCCTTCCACTTAGTGAAATGTATCAAGCAAACAGGGACCATCAAATGGGGGACAAGTTCACTAGACGCTTAAAACTCTCCCTGTGTTCATCATCTCAGGGTGTGAGTTTGGTGACGCGCCCTTAGCAGACTGGGACGAGAGCTATACTCTTCCATCTTGTGTAGGGAACTGGGCAGGAGTCTTGCGTATGTTGGAGGTCCCTAAAGGAGCTCTGATGGTGAGAGCACTTGTTAAGGAGGAACTGAGGTATGCCCAAGGCCTTCTTGCCAACTGTCCCTATTGAGCTGGGACAGTCACTGTTATTTCAGTAGCACAGTTCTCCATTTCTCCCCCCTCTGAGCCTCCTAGCAGTGCTCCTAGTCAGTGGAGATCAGAGGTGTGCCTCTATTTATAGCTATCGAATGTTGGCAGGCAGGCCGAGATGTGTGGATAGATATAGCCATGTTCACACTTTTCATAAGTTTAGCTTCACAGGCTGGATTTCAATCTAATTCTGGCCTCTTTTCTGCTCACCCAAGAGGCCTTTTTGCTGATCCGTAACAAACGGGGCTATTCCGTGCTCACTTTGACTTCCTTACTGCTTGACAAACCTTTCTGGCTTTGGGGTGGCTGAGGGATTAACGAATGCTGGCCATAATGGAACAGACCATTGGCTCATTAATGCCAGTACCCTGCTTCCAGCAATGGCCTATACCTGAAACATGAGCTGAAGTCTGCAGCAACCTGCCTCCTGACCTCAGCAGCGGTCAGGAATGGGGGTGACGGATCCTGCAGTATATTCCCTCTCCCTACAGCACCTCCAAACAGGTGACTGAGGGACATTTTCCAAGGCTAGCTGCCCCTTTTGCAAGTTTGCAGCCAAGGGAGTAAAGGAACAGCTGTGCAGGATGGGGGGAGGAGCGTGTGATGATTTACGAACACTCTATGTGACCTGGTTGTTGGCTATGGTGGGTTGTTGTCTCTGTACGAATTGGTTTAGTTTAATAGTAGGACTGACTAGGAAAAGGTAGCAAGGCAACACAACGGCTACAGATAAGCAACCAGCCAGTCATTAGAAGAGGATGCCTGAGCTATTCACTGTGAAGTTGCTATTTCCAGGCTCCAGCCAAGTTACAAGACTTGTTCTGCCAGTACTGGGAGCCAACCAATGAAACAGAAACCAAACAGTTAAAAAGTCTCTCTCCGCCTTGTCAGGGAGGGGCAGACAGACACAGACCCCATTTGGGGGAACTGAAGAAATCAGGCCTTCTAGGCTTCCTAGGGGGTATGCCCACACATGAGCCCACAGCAGGTGCTGATGCAAAGTATGATGGGAGTATAACAGATCCATTGCAGCTGAGTGCAGACGGTTTCTTGTTTAATCCCTCTCTCATTTTATGCCTGGCGCCTACTGTTAAGGCTGAACAATGCTTTGGTGTAAGAAGGCTCTCTGGTTATTTGTACTAACCACTGCTCACAGGTTCCCGAAGGGATGACCCACTGGGACCTGTCAGGGTAAGTACGGTAGATACACAAGATGCTGAAGCACAGGGTCCAGTCTAAGAGTGAGAGAATCATGTGATTCCACCCCCAGGGAAGTAAAGGCATGAGGCCTGACTCCTGAAGGGGCTCATTCAGAGACACCAGAGAGAGAGTCAGGCGTGCAGCCAGCCCATAGCATAGCACTCAGAATTCACAGCTGTGACATTGACACCTGTAAGCTACAAGGAGTTAAAGTAGTCACCTCTGAATTATGATGGTTTTCTCCATACACCCACATTAGCTGATTAAAAGGATCTCTGAGCCCTCCAACCTACAGAGAATTGAGCAGAGAAACTGCTTGACTGATCAATGGTTTATCTATCTAGACCAGCATCTCATCTCTTAATAGTGACCAGTGCAAGATGCTTTAAGAAAAATACCTGGTTTTAAATGCCATACTGGGGGGCAGGGCAGGGGGAAGACGAATTTCTTCCTGACCCAGCTGGTGATCAGCATATGCCCTGAACCATGAGGACTAAAAGCCCTTCCAGTATTATCAGAGCTACAACAGCTGAAGGTGCTGCTCTTATTCATACAAATACCTGAAGCTTTGCTACGCTATTTGCCTCAGATAACAGTGGCACAAATTCCTCTCTTGTGGGAACTGACACTGGGTCTATTCATGCATTCACCCATATAATGCAGCCTGAAGATGTCCAAAAGGTTTCACCTCAGTCATACAGCCTCCCTAGCTTGTCTTGGGCAAAGGGCTCCCTATGCTCTGGGGTCTGTGTTTGAAATGCTCTCTTGGACGGAGAGCTAAAGGGGTCAGAATAGATCTGTCCATAATGGACTGGCTCTCCCTTAGGTATTCCATCTCCAGGAGATGCTCAGAGAGGATACACCTTTAAATAGGATGCAGTCAAAGCTAGTCAAGCATTGATTATCCCTGCTTTCAAGGTCCCTAAGTCACCCAGCAGAGGGCAGGAAAGACAGGCCCATACAGAACACTGCATTCCTGAGTAAATCTCCAGCGAGTCAGTGTCTACGTTACTGGACAAAACGTGTTACAGGAGAGAGAGAAAAAATATAACCAACAAAACACACGACCTGCAGGCGCGTGCGTGAGAAAGCCTGGCCCGACTCTGGCCTGAGGAGCGGGGTCTGCTCTGCTGAGGCGAGAAGAGATCTGGACTGGGCTGAGGGGGAGGTTTCTCCATTGGACATAACTTTATTTCCATCTTGTGGCCTGACTGCAGCTCCCTTTTATACGCAAAGGGAGTTTTCAAACATTGCTAAGCCCAGCTCAGCTCCCCGGCGGCAGCAATGCTGGGAGCCCTAGGGAGACAAGGCAACTGCTGCTGGCGCCATTTACTCCTCAGAGCAGGGCTAAGACACGCTGATGTCCAAGGATGCAGCTCCACTAACTTCAACGGAGATAAACTGATTCACACCAACTGAGGATCTGAGTTACGGGGCTTCAGTGACCATAGGAGCCTTGCATAGAAAGGGCTTCGGCAGAGCATGGAGGGGAAGGCTGGCAGCTCCTCTCGCTGTCTCTCCCCACTTGTTTATTTAAAAAATGCCTTGTTCTCTTTGCAACTAAGCTGGCATAGGAACCAACTTCCCTGCCACATTGTGGGATCAGGCAGTGTCCATCCTGTGCCCACTTGCCCCCACTCTTCAGGCATCCAAAGGCCATTTCTTTGGATCCGTTCCCTCATGGCTTCCTATTTGCAGTAAGTTTTGGGTAATTAAGACCTATACCAGCCTGCCCTCTCCCCTCCCTTTGCCCACACCCATTGCAGAAGGGGTTTCCAAAACCCCAAGGAGAGCCCAAATGGGAGTCATTTTTCAACAGGGGCAGTTAAACAGCCATCCTTCAACTCTGTTTAGGTACCATTAAAATGAAAGAAAAACCTGCAGTGAGAGTCCTGTTCTAGCAGCACT